TGACTTTGCTGATCCACGCTCGCGCTCGATCTTCGTCTTGATCCTTGCCAGTGAACTCCTTGAGATCTGAGATCGCCGAGATCCGGATTTGTTGGCTCATGGTGGAACCTGTGGGTCCAGCAGCAGCGGTGGCCACAGTGGCTTGTGCCGTGGTGGGAAAATCTACATCGTCCGGATCGTACTCCCAGCGAGATCCATGATCGGAAGATCGAATGGACTCCATTTCGACATCTCGTGATCCTTAATGCTGTGGACGTGTAGAAGCTGGAACTTTGTTCGCCTCTCGTTCTTCGTCCAGGTATCGGTCCATTGCAGCATTGAAGAACTTCTGCAAGGTACCGCCTGATCGGTCTGAGCTCTCGGTGACCGTGGGTTGATTCGTTGGCGCGGATCCATTATCGCGGCGACTGCTTCTGGCTGGACTAGAGCGGCGGATCTTGGATCTCGCCTCCAGCATTGATGCCGCAGAGGGTCCTAGGGACATCCGTCGCGGTGGCTCGGAGGAAGTGTCAGATCCATCTTCTGCGGCTGATGCATAATGTGACGACACTGTCAAGTTATCGATGGCGTCAGACGTGGTCAGCGGCCGTGGATCCGGGTTCTGGGGCGCCTCGCCGACTAGGATCCTCAACTTCTGAAACAGCTCACGGCTGGTAGTTTGGATCACATCAAGATCCAAATCGAACAGTGCGTCCGCGTCGAACGATCCCGGGGTCATACCGGCCTCTTTCAATAGACGGATCAGCTTCATCGCTGCATCAAATCGGTTATCCAGAGTGGCGGGGACAGTTACAGGGTCCTTTGGATCCGTGATCCGCTTGGGCTTCAGGATCCGCATCACTGGATCCTGGTCTACGAAGTCACGTAGCTCCTTGCGGTGACACATGGACTTCAGATCTTCTTCAGACCAGCCAGATCAGGGGTGATCTTCATCTTCCTCGTCATCTGGCGCTTTCATCTTCTTCCGCACAGTTTTGGATCTTGGCTCCCCGACCTCGGATCCAGAGACTTGCGTGTCCTTAGGTAGATATAGTGTTGGCTTATCCGGATCTGTGAATGTCAGCCTTCCCTTTTTTTTGTTTTGTTAGCGGATCTTGACGCGAGTCAGGATCCGCAGGGGTCCCCTTGCCGGAGACCTGTGGAGGATGAGGTTTCTCTTCCAGATCTGGATCGGGATCCAGATCGGCCTCACTTCCGTCGACAGAGTACTTCCCGGCACTCTGCCGATCCGCACATCTAGCGTTCAGCGATGTCGTCGTCGATCTGGCATCCGATGACGCCTCGTTCCCTTGTTCAGTCTTCACTTGAACTTCTTCTTGAGACTCACGGTGAAATCCCGAGTCACCAGAAGATCCGGGCACGCGCACCATTGTGGTGGAGCGGGATCAGCAAAATCTGCGAAGATGCTGGAT